GCCTGGTGCATGCAATACAGATGAATGATGCAAGCATGCATAGCATAAGGATGCTAATTGAAATGTGCCCTAGAACTAACCACTGAAAGGGTAAATAAAAGGGAGAAAGACGTGTGGGGTTGGAAGACATACATCACACACGCACACTTATTACAATATTGCCCTCACGCGGAGGGTCCGAATAAATAATATACAGTCCCGAATGAATATTATAGTCCAAATATGTACAAAACCCTAATTAATTAACAAATTAATTTAGGAAAGCAATAAATTGGCATGCAAGCCAGGGACTGCCTCAACTCTGCTTCGGATGATGGATGATGCATACTTGAGTTGCCTTGTGCGGAAATCCACTGCGATGCCCCAATTAGCCTCTGTTTGCAATTATTCTCGGGATGCGTGCCAAGCTTCGGAAGGCTGCTGATTTCTAATTTACTGCAACAAAGAGCAACAAAGGGGCATGGCAAAGTATTTTCACATATGTATGCCTGACTACTCTTCATGGAGTGTAGTCCTCGATCCTCGTGCCACCAATCACGCATCTCGATGCATGATGGCCGAGGAGTCGATTTGCACGGCTCAATATGAAATGAATGCACATATGGACACAACAAGGCCTAGACTTCATCATGGATAATCCGGAGCGTCGGCGACCAGGAATTGAGACACGTTCCGTCACTCGGAGTATGAAACGTACCTCGTTTCCCATGCTTGGGCTAATTCCTATCCCAAGCACAATGCAATATGCATGACATGCATGAATGCAACTAATATACAACCTAGCATGCACAATGCTATGAAATGGCATACACAATGCATGATGTAACATGGCATACACGATGCTCTAATATACTACCTAGCATACGCAATGCTATGAATTGAAATGGCATACACAATGCACGATGGACTTACACAATTATGGGTGGACCTCAGCCGCACTCACATCAATGGCCATTAGATGAAAATGAGACACTCGAGATGCGTGCACACGTGTACGCAAACCGAGGACCGAACCTAAGGCATAAATGCCACTCTAACAAAGAATGGCAAGGAATGAAACATGATATGCAAACATGCAAATTTCAGTACCAAAATATGATGCAAAACAGCCCCGAAACATGGAAACATGGCACCCGATGCATGAAATGAGACCCGAAACTCGAAACTAGGCGCATGGAATGACTTATAGCTATACAAAGCATGCATTATTTGAATATGAAGCATAAAGACAGAATCAAGGCAGTCCCAAAACATGCATATTTCCAGTTTTAAGAAAGGCCAAAAAGTGAACACAAATAGGGCTAAGTTAACATGCAAAAATGGCCCCAAAAGAGAGATAAAGAAGCAAGTAGCAGCTGATGGCCCCAAAAAATGAAGAGCCCTTCAACAAAGTTGAAGAGAGGCTCAAAACAAAGTATTTTACAGTTTATGTCCGGGCCGAAAACAGTGCACAAGTAAGCTTAAAATACTATGCAAGAAATAGGCCTAAAAGAAGGTTTAAACACAAAGTGTAAAAAGGGAGCCTCAAACAGAAAAAGACCCTTGATCAAACATGAAAAGGGGGCCAAAATATGACTATTTTCAGTTTGGGTCGGAACCCAAAAATACAAGCACAAGGGGCTAACAAAACATGAAAAAATAAGGCCAAAAGAGGAATAAAGAGGCAAGTGACAAAAGGAAGCCTCAAACAGTGAAGAGCCCTTCAACAATGTTGAAGAAGACTCAAAATAATCCACTTTTCAGTTTATAACCAAGCTCGAAACAATTTAAAAATGAGCCTAATACGCTAAACAGCGCGGAGGCATACAAGAGAGGTAAAGAAGCAAGTGTAAAAAGGAAGCCTCAAACAGGGAGAGACCCTTAAACAAACATGAAAAGGAGCTCAAAATAATGCTATTTTCAGTTAGGGTCGGTGCCCAAGTCTCAAAACTTACCAAATTGACCCTGGAAAGTGGCTTCAAAGCATGCAAGATAGGGTCTCTTTGGAAGGCCAAAATGACCACCAAACAAGTCAAGGAGAGAGGGGGTCACCCCCCTCTGATTTGGAGGCTCAAAATAGTATTCTAGCCACTTAAAATCCACTAGATTTCAGTGGCTAGAAGTCCAAACCAAGCATGCAACAAGAGCTTAGGTGTAAGGCTCAAAATAAGGGACAATCAAGCATACAAGGAAGCATATGACCTCAAAAAAGAAAATTCCCGTAATCAAACATGAAGATGATGTCAAAAGGAGACTTTTTCCAATTCATAACAAATCTCAAAAGTGAACACAAATAGGGCTAATCTATTATGCAAAAATGGCCCTAAAAGAGAGATTAGAGACAAGGGATAGCAGCTGGCCCCAAATAGCAAAGAGCCCTTCAACAAAGTTGAAGAGAGGCTCAAAACAAGGCACTTTACAGTTTATATCAAGTCTCTAAAATAAACACAAGTGAGGCTAAAACAACATGCAAGAAAAAGGCCTAAAAAAGGGATAAAGAGACAAGTGGTAGCAGCTGGCCTCAAACAGAGGAGAGCCCTTCAAAAAAGTTTAAGAGGGGCTCAAGAGGAAAAGGGGGGAAAAATGGGGGGGGGGGAAATCAATTCAAATTTCCCCCAAAAAATAGACCTAAAAGAGAGATAAAGAGGCAAGTGGTAGCTGCTGGCCTCAAACCGAAGAGAGCCCTTCAATAAAGTTGAAGAGGGGCTCAAAAAAAGATACTTTATAGTTTACATCAAGCCACGAACCAGCTCACAAATAAGTCTAAAATACCATGCAAAAATAGGCCTAAAAGAGAGTTAAAGAGGCAAGTGATAGTAGGAGACCTCAAACAGTAAAAGGTCCTTAATCAAACATGAAAAGGAGCTCAAAATATGACCATTTACAGTTTGGGTCGGAGCCTAAAAATGCTTGCAAGCAAGGCTTAGATATAGAGCAAGATAGGAACAAAAAAGAGGGAAAAATAAGCTTACCCTTGAAGACCAATGGACCAGCAGCTCTTGGTCTGAGAAATGGTGCTCCTAAGCTCTAAAAAACAGCTCCAAGTTGTTGGAATGGATGGTGGTGGGGTGTATACCAAAAACCGGGGCAAACGGAGGTGGTTAAGCGGTCCCGAACCGAGGCACACGGCCGTCGGCTCCGAAAAATCGGAAACCGGGCTCCAAACGGGAAAAATGGCCTACAACCACGAAACGTAGCCTACGGCTACTGAGAGATGATCTACGAGACCTCTCCCTCCCTTCGAAAAGAGAAAACAGAGAAAACAGAGCCTGGTTCGCAAACCGAGGCAGGACACGAAAGAGCCCGGAAGTCCGGAGGCAAGGCTCGCAGCCGAGACTCTGAAACCTCAGAACGAGCACAATATGCAACATCACCGAGTGCTCAATCGGTGACGTCTGAGTCTTAAGGTCGATCAAAAATGAATTGTCTACACATCCATACGATTCAGTCACAAGCATCTCAACCATGCCCATCTAAGCCGTCCACACCAGCCAAACGGCCACATCAGACCGGCAAAATTAACTTTGACAACGCAAATCTGGAGAAGTTGATCCTCTCCTACAACGGTGCTCTTGTTATCGAGTTGCGAGTAAGCAAATTCATTGTGGAATGCATTCTGGTTGACTAAGGAAGCACATAAGAGATAATGTACTACAAGACGTTTGTGAAACTTGACTTCACGAATTTAGATCTACTGCCATCAGCATATCCCTTGTTCGGCTTCAACGCGAATCCAGAATACCCTTTGGGCAAGGTCACGATTGCGGTACGTGCAGGCACTAAGACGATCGACGTGGAGTTTCTGGTCGTTAAATTGCCATCGCCGTACAACATCATTATGGGAAGAACTTGGCTGCATACAATGCAAGCCGTACCAAGCACCTATCACCAGCTACTCTGCTTCCCAACACAACATGGCATTGAGCAGATTGGAGGCTCTCAAAAGTCAGCAAAGGATTGCTACCTTACTGCTTCCAACAAAAAGCCAAGGGAACTGAAGGTCAATTCAATTGAAATTCCAAACCGGGAGAACCTCGAGGATGTTAGAAAACCCCCCACTGATAAGGCAACTGAGGATCTCGTACGGATTGAACTCGCGCATGAACTAAATAAATTCTTCTTGATCGACCCCTATCTGAATGTCGACGAATGCCAGGAGTTAATTTCATTCCTAATCTGCAATAGTGATGTATTTGCTTGGACGCCTTATGAAATGCTGGGAGTGGACCCTAGCATAGCATAACACAATTTGAATGTAGACCCAAAGGTTAAGCCCATCATCCAAAAGAGTCACTGATCGGCAACCGAGCATACTTCGACCGTTGTCAAAGAAGTTGACAAGCTCCTAGAGGCCGGCGCAATCCGCGAAGTGAATTACCCCACCTGGTTGTCCAACGCTGTTGTTGTAAAGAAGAAAAACGGGTCTTAGCGTGTCTGCGTGGACTTTACGGACCTGAATAAGGCTTTTTCCAAGGATTGCTTCCCTCTTTCCCGAATCAACCAACTGGTGGACGCAACTGTGCATCATCAACGTATGAGCTTCTTGGGCGCATACAGGGGATACCATCAAACAGCCATGCATCCTGAGGATCAGGAAAAAATGGCATTCCTCACTCCGAGGGGCACTTATTGTTACAAAGTCATGCCCTTCGGCCTGAAGAATGTTAGGGCAACGTATCAGAGGCTTGTGACCACCATGTTTAAGGGGCAACTAGACCGTACCATGGTGGTGTACATCGATGATATGGTGGTAAAGTCCAAAGAAAAGCATGTCCACTTAGCCGACTTGACCGCAACCGTCGACATCCTCCGAAAATACATAATGAAACTTAACGCCTTAAAATGCGTGTTCGGTATCGGATCTGGCACATTCTTGGGCTATATTGTGAACTATCGCAGAATAGAGGCCAACCCGAAACAAATTACAGTAATCTTGGAACTTGGCTTCCCTCAATCAGTCAAAGAAGTACAGAAGTTGATGGGGATGACCACAGCCCTCAACATATTCATTAGCCGTTCTTCAGATCATTGCCAACCGATTTTTCACACCTTTTGACAGGGGAAAGCATTCCTTTGGACCCTCGAATGCCAAACCACCCTAGACGGCTTAAAAGCTTATCTCCTTTCAATATCGCTCTTGATAACTCCGTCGCCGAGTGACACACGCATCCTGTACCTTGCGGTCTCAGATCGTGCAATCAGTGCCGTACTACTTAAAGAAGAGCTAGGAGAGCAACGACCCATTTTCTACGTTAGTAAGGCAATGGTGGATGCTAAGACGCGATACCTACCACTGGAAAAGCTGATTTTGGTCCTAGTAGTGGCCGCTAGGAAATTAATGCACTATTTCTAGGCCCATACAATAGTTGTGCTAACGGACTACCCTCTCTGAACAGTACTTCACAGTGGGGAATCATCAGGGCGCGTCTCCAAATGGGCGTTAGAACTCGGCCAATATGACATCCAGTTCTCTCCTAGAACAGATATCAAGGAGCAGGTTTTGGCTGACTTCATTGCTGAATTTACTGGTCGTCACGCCGACTTAAAGCTAGAGCAACCGGCCTTCCAACCCCAACAAGAGTGGAGGATGTGTGTTGGAGATATTTGGCAGATGTACTGCGATGGTTCATTCAACCAGCGTGGTTGCGGGGCCGGAGTAGTGATTATGACTCATGAGGGTGCCGTAATCGAGCATGCGGTCAAGCTCGGCTTTGACGCATCAAATAACGAAGCCGAATATGAGGCTTTGCTTATCGACTTTCGTAACGCACTTTGACTTGGTGCTAAACAGTTACAGGTTTTCTGTGATTCAAAGTTGGTTATCAATCAATTGAAGGGGAAGTATACAGCTGAGAATGACCGAATAACAACATACATGAAGACGACAAACTCATTACTCATGAAGTTTGACCACCATGAGCTGCATCAAATTACCCGCGACCAAAATACCCATGCAGATGCTTTTGCTTGCTTGGCTTCTGTCATCAATTTGAAAGTTAAGCGGACTATTGAGATGGGATTCGTCAATAAGCCGAGTATTGGTCTCCCGAATTTCGTTTGCATCAATGTTATTGACTTGGGGCTGAGTTGGATGGATCCAATTACCGTATTTTTATCTTCACAATAGTTGCTCGCGGACAAAAAAGAAGCCTATAAACTGCGGAATAAGGCCCTACGCTACTATTTGGACCCCCACGAAAAGCTTTACAAAAAATCTCTCTCAGGGCCATATCTGGAATGTGTGCACCTAGACTTGGTAGAGCATTTCTTGGCTAAAACACATGAAGGCAGTTGCAGCGCCCATTCTGGAGGGCGTTTGCTAGCCCACCGAGCTGTTACCCAGGGGTATTACTGGCCTACCATGCGGACTGATGTAGAGAACTACGTAAAGACGTGTTAGCAATGCCAAATATTCTCTCCCTTGACTCATCTACCCACAGAAGAACTGAACTCCATCACTAGTCTTTGGTCTTTTGCTCAATGGGGTTTGGACATCGTCGGACCACTGCCAAGAGCTCCGGGAAACAAACGATTCCTGATTGTTGCAACGGATTACGTCATGAAATGGGTCGAGGCGGAACCATTAGCACACATCCAAGACGTAGATGTCAAACATTTTGCTTGGAAGAACATTATAACCAGATTCGGCATACCGCGAGCGCTCATATCCGATAACGGCACCCAATTCAATTGCGGTGTCTATTGTGAGCTGTGCGACACATACAACATAAGACCATACTTCTCCTCACCAGCCTATCCATAGAGCAACGACTAAGTCAAGGCCTCCAATAAAGTGATCTTGGATGGAGTCAATAAACGGTTAGAAAAGGCCAAGGGCAAGTGGATTGAAGAGCTGTCTAGTGTATTTTAGGCCCACCGCACTATTCCAAGGCGACCTACCGGTGAAAAAATGTTCGTTTTATGTTTTGGGACTAAAGTTATTATTTTCTTTGAAATCGGCATGCCCACTCTAAGATCAAAAGCATTTGACACATGATAGAATGACATGATGTTGGCCTTGGATTTGAATTTGATTACGGAACACCGTGATCAGGCTCTTGTGCATATGGCACGTTATCAGCAACAGCTCGCCAAATCATATAATCAGCGCGTACAGCCGCGCCATTACGTCCCCGGAGAGTTGGTTCTCAAGAAAGTGCTTCTTGTCACTAAAAATCCGGCCGACGGCAAGCTGGGCTCCAATTTGCACGTCCCATATCAGATTGACTCAATTGCTGGGGTAGGAGCATATCGACTCTTGGACATGGTTGGCAAAAAGCTTCCCCGACCATGGAATGCCACAAACTTACGCAAATTTTATCATTAATCGACATAGGAACTGTCCATGCTTTTTGGCTTTTTGAAGTATGTAGCAAGCACGTGTTTATCTTTTGTGTTCCACTAATATATACATATTTATTCTGTTCATTAATGACTTTTGCTTAGCTTTTATTTGCTTGGATCTTATACAAATGGCAAAAACGACTCCGAATTCGGAGCGCCCCTTGTGCCTGGCACGATCGGCCGAATAAGACTCCGAATTTAGAGCGCCCCTTGTGCCTGGCACGATCGGCCGAATAAGACTCCGAATTTAGAGCGCCCCTTGTGCCTGGCACGATCGGCCGAATAAGACTCCGAATTTAGAGCGCCCCTTGTGCCTGGCACGATCGGCCGAATAAGACTCCGAATTTAGAGCGCCCCTTGTGCCTGGCACGATCGGCCGAACAAGCCTTCGAATTCAGAGCGCCCCTCGTGCCTGGCACGATTGGCCGAATAAGACTCTGAATTCGGAGCGCCCTTCGTGCATGGCACGATCGGCCGAACAAGCCTCCGAATTCGAAGTGCCCCTCGTGCTTGGCACGATCGGCCGAACAAGCCTCTGAATTCAGAGCGCCCTTTGTACTTAGCACAATTAGCCATTACATAAGCCTCCGAATTCGGAGCGCTCTTTGCCTGCATAACTGGCCCTCCGTAACTGGCAGAGTGCCATATTAGACTATCAAGATTGGGCTTTTTCAAATTAAATATGAAATTCCTACAAGTGGCACACATCATATTGCATAAAAGAAACAAGCATAATATGCATTAAAATAAATTGCATAGTTTATTACAACAAACGACAACGTCAGTTACAAATCTACAAAATTATTGGCCCGTCCCCCCTTCGTCAGTCTCTGCTTCGTCATCTATTTTCTCAGCGTCATAGCTTCGAACGGAAATTTATAATTTTGGTATAGGGGTGACACCAAATCAATACCCACAGCCTGAAGAGCCTTAGCCATCCGTGTTTGAAACCACGATTCTCGCATCGACAAACATCATCGACCAGCTTTTCCCTAATTTTCTCGATGCCGATTTTTCACCCGTCAAAAAAACCTTCCTCATAGGCCCGAGATCATATGGCCTATTTGGCAAACGTGGCAGTCGTATCTCGATCAGCTATAGCATGATCAATTAGCCGCTGGTTTACGCTATCGGTAACAGTCGTGTTCGTTGACCCCACGGCCTACTTCTCGGTGGCCCTAGCTCTACGTATTTCACTCTCTGCTTTTTTTGCACGGCGTTCCAAATCTCAAATCCACCCATCCCTTTGAGCGATTTCTTTTTGAGCAGCCCAAAGTCGCACACCAGTCTCATATGCACAGTAGAGCCCTTTGATTGACCCATGGACACCATATTTAAAAACTTCATAGTTACCTTGCCTGATCATAGATTATTGTACTTCGGGTGGAAATATTTGCCGAGCAAAGTCCACCGCCACATTTGGATCATGAATAATCAAGTTTGCTTCAGTCATGGGCTTGTTGCCAATAAAGACAACAAAACTTAGAGGGCGTGGCGATCAACTCGACTCAGGTCGCACGAACGCCTGTGCACTTGCAGCCCTGGCGCTACCTTTTTGTTGTGCCCCGTCTCTCGGCGATCTCTCCACCTTACTCCTCCTGGGGGACTTGCTTCATAAACGGGGTGAATGACGTCTTTCCCGTTCCTCTGATGCTACAGTACTCGCTTGAGATGCTACACCGCCTACTCCACGATTCATTTACGCGTCCAATTCTGCTAAACTTTTTCCCTTGCCTTTACTATTGAAAAATAATCTTCTAAACATATGCTCACACTGATTACTGCGCAAACGCTTTCATCTCTTCCACTTTGTTCGCTGCTCACTGTGGCTGGATAACCCCTTTTATGGGCTGCGCAAGGGATATTTAACGATGCCCCCTTCATTAATTACAAAATACACCACTAATGATGCGCCCGCCGCCACCGCCGTCCTCGCCTATCTTTGGCGGAGGACTCATGCTCAAATGGGGCAAGGACAGATATGTGAATCTATTCGACTTATTCATCTTTGGCCGAATTACTCCACTGCCCCACTTGACCAGTGAGGTCATTTAATGTATTTGGCGGAGGACTCATGCTCAAATGGGGCAAGGACAGATATGTGAATCTATTCGACTTATTCATCTTTGGCCGAATTACTCCACTGCCCCACTTGACCAGTGAGGTCATTTAATGTATTTGGCGGAGGACTCATGCTCAAATGGGACAAGAGCAGATTTGTGAATCTGTTCGGCTTATTTATCTTAGGCCGAATTGCTTTGTGCTTAGTTTGGTGTTTTAGACTGCTTATCTAATCACAATATACACAAACATAACATACAAAAACACAGCATGCAAAACATTACTAATTTCATTTTCATTCACAAGTTACTTCTCAAAGTAGGCATTTTTCATTCATAAACTGTATACGAACAAGTATCACTTTATCAATGAAAACTGCCCTAATACAAAACAATACTGATACTAAAACAACTACAAGAATAGAAAAAATAAACAAACTATTTTCAAATATCTTCAAAGTCCTCTGGGTCTGACTCCAGAGGTTCAACTTCTAGCTGCTCGTATGGAATCAGCAGGTCAAGAGTCATTTTGGCAGCCGCCAAGGCCTTGAGCCAACCATGCTTGAAGCTGCAATTTTCAAACTTCAACGCTTCGTCTGCATATAACTCTTTGGCTTTAAGCTCTCCGGCATCAAATGCCTTGGCCACGTCTGCCTCCGTGCACTCCTGGGCTCTCTTTGACTTCCCCAATTTGGCCATTAATTTGCCATTCTCTGCTTTGACCAACTTCAACTCACCGTCTAGAAAGGTAGCCTTCTCTTCAGCGGCCCATCAAAGAAAATTGGCATGTCTTGCTTTCTCCTCTTCGGCAGCAGCCTTCGCCGCTCATCTTCCGCCCTCCGGGCTTCGACCTGCGCCTTTGTAGTCACCACTATCAAATCGGCCATCGCAGCAGCTGCCTTATTTCTTTCACCCTCGAGTTGGCCTTCTATCACGCCGAGTTTCTCCATGATGTCGTAATGCCGACAACTAATTTTCTACTATCCTGGCCACCACCTAACAAGCATGATATAGCAGTCATATTAGTCAACATAAAAAGGGCATAAAAAGATACATCTCAGTACATGCTACTTACCAATATAGCTGACTGAGCCGCTAAGGCAATAGAGACGTCTGACTCGGTATGGAATGCGGCTTTGTCCGACAGAAGTGAAAGTGATGATGATACACTTAAAGCCACGGTAGGATCCATAATGGGTAACCCACTGGCTAGAACCGATGAACTTTTCATCCTTAGCTGGATGACGAACGGCTTGGCCGAGTTTGAAGAAAGTGCCTCTATCCTTTGCCGTTTATCAGCCTGTTCTTCTTATGATTCGGCAAGGAATTCGACGGGGCACTGTAGACACCCCATTTTGACCAACCTTAAGACTCAGACGTCATCGTTTGAGCGGTCATTGATTGTGCTTGTTTGTGCTCGTTTCGAGTTTCTAGAGTTTTCGGCTGAGTGCCTTGCCTCTGGGCCTCTGAACTGTTTGTGTTTTGGCTTGGTTTGTGGACCATGCCTTGTTAATCTTTCCTGGAGGGAGAGAGGGGCTTGTAGACCACTTTTTGTGGTCGTAGACCACTTTACCCTCTTGTAGACTAGTTTCCGATTTTCGGAGT